ACTACGAGCTTTCGTCCCTAACTATGAGCTCTCGATAGCTCTCGTGAGATACCTGCAAGGCGCTGAAAAAGCTTCAGCCTCTGAAGACAAAGGTTCTTTCCAAGCTCACACATAGTCTTCACGAGACTTCAGCTTGTTTTGGTTTGAGGTTCTGGGTCAATGCGGTTGCACAGACGTAGAGTACAAAGCTGGATGTAGCTGCTGGGGCGGCAATGTGTTCCTAGGCCGCTGAAAGATGCAAGTCAATTCGCCTGAAGACCGCGAAACCGAGTCTCTTGCTGGTGCGGAGCTGCTCGTGGTGCAGGATTCGCAGCAGGCGTGACGAAGCCCGGAGCCTCTGCATCACGTCACGACTTCAGAAAGCCCCTGCCCATCATCCTTTTCAAGCTGTCTGGGCTTAAGGGTCGTCTAGCGACCCTCAGGCCAGTCTTCCCACCTCGCCCCCCCCTGTGTCTCTCGCCCTCTGACACTCTCTCTTCATTCTTGCTATTGGGTTTGAATGCGGCTGCAACCCGCACTCGGACCTTATTCCGCCCGTCCACCTGCTGCACGCAGAACAGACACGCTATTGGAGTTCGTACCAACAGCTTATCGCCTGGTAGGTGTCCACTGCATACTTAACCTGTAAAACCAAACAGCGGCCTTCCTCGTAGTTGCACCTTCCTTCCTACGCCGGGTCGACCAGCCCCTCCCTTGCAGCTACACATACCCCTCGGTCTAGTATCCGGCGAGACTTTGCGGGATGTCTCTACCAGCGAAGAAGCAGGATCTGCGAAGCGGTCTCCCACACTTGTCATTGCGACACGTAGTGGCGCTCTCTCGCTCTCTCTGTCTCAGCAGCTCGCAGCAACGAAAGCTCCGGCAGCCAAGGCAGCACCTCAAAGACTTCAGACGCCGCGATATCCAAGGCAAGGTGCAAGTACAGACAAAGCAACATATCATCAGCGAGCACAGACTTTGATCTAAGCTGGCACACACTGCATCCCGGTGCCCCTGCTGCGTCAGCTAGGTTCCTGCAATCCCATAAGGCAGGCACCGCATGCAGCGCGTCGTCCGGACATCGCGAAAAATGCCTGCAGAAGAGAGAAACATGCTAACCCGAGGGCCAGCAGGAGACGTGGAGTCTCATCTTGGGCTCGGGCAAGTGAGCCGCGCTCTTTTGTGAGAGTCAGGGGGGGGCTCGTGTAGTCGGCCCGAAAGCTGCCAAAGAGGACGGACGTCTGACTTAGCTATACTTAGCTGGCAAATACTCGGATGGATGCAAATGTCACAAGACATCAAGCCCATCACACCTTTTCCAGACGTCGTTCGATGTCCAGTATCGAAAGTGAGCTCGAGCAGGCAGTCCGACAGACAGGCACACCGGATCAGTGGCTAGAAACTGTGTGAGAAGGACTATCTCAAGCAGAACGCCGCTTGCTCACAAAGCTTTTGGAGGCTTCTGCTCTTCAGAAGCATCGAGTTGCTACGCGCTAGACTATGCTGCAGAGTACTGTACAGATGTCGCGGTCTTCGCCATCGTAGACTGCTCTACCTGTCCCATCGGTGTGGACAGCAAATGATGAAGGATGCAGACTTGCCTTCGCTCGACATGCAACAGATGGCAGATCCTATAGACGGGTCTAGACACAAAATGCGCTGAAATGCTTGGCATTCAATGCGAATGCCACGTTCCCTCAACAGCATGCGAGGAGTGGGAAGAAGAACAGCAATTGGGCCTTCGGTTCACAGTCTTTCGACCATCGTTCAGTCTCTGTAGCACTCGCTTGCAGATGACGGCGGTCTTAGCAAAAATGGACGCTTGATAGAGTGCCTTCTGCCCAGCGTCCAGTCTTTCAAAACACTGTCTTTGAGTCTGCAGTCCCTTAACCTGATCTGGTGCCTAAGGGGCGGGCATCGTCCCATGCCTCATCCAGAGTATTCTGCTCATCATTGCTGGACACCACCTGAACACTATGTCGTGCGAAACTCTCAAAAGAAAGGCTACTCCTGTGCCTGCCGCTCTTTTCTCAGCGGTATATCTTCCAGCAGAGATTCAGCCTTAAGTTAAGTGAAGCATCAGGCGAAAACTGAAGCAGCACATGAAGTTCCTGTTGTATGCTGGGTGGCTGCGCGGCTGTACACTTCTCCATCCAGAGCATACTCCTCCTGTTGCTAGGTAGCCGGCTATATCACGAACACCTCGGCGAGCGACGGCTGCCTTCGCCTTCCAGGTGAATATCGGCCAAGCAAATGCTCGATAATTTGTGTTCCGAGTCTTGGCAAGCTTCCTTCCAGTCTTACTGGTGAGCCGGTCCCCCTCCACATTTAAGTTGGTTCTCAGCCCATGACAAGCACACCACGGTTTGGAGTTTAGGGGTTAGGGACCGCAAGACATCAACACTTCGACTGCCCGCACCGCTTTTGCAGAGGGCTATGACATGACAGATGGTGAGGCTTACAGCACCGAGTTTAGCGGTCCTGGCCTCGGTGTCGAATGTCAGCCCATGAAGGCATCGAAGGGAAGCTTCCAGCAAGCGTGGGGCCTGACAAGGAGCGACCGCTACCGAGGACCCTTCTCACGATCACCAACGAACTAGCGAGGACTCGTCTGCGCCTGACAAGGAACCTCAGCATGCAGGGCACACATCCAGTTGTACTCTCGTCGCTGTGAGCTCATCGCCAATAGAACACGAGACACAACGTCTCGACCCCTTCCAGGACCGGACTTCGGCACATCTTGCCAAAACATCGACACCTGGCAGCCGACAACCGAAACCGGGTGTGATTCACAGTGATAAACCTGCCTCCAGCTGCACATAGTTCTCTGGGTACAGTCCGGCTTAGCCTGATGCCAAGCTTTACGACTCTCCAAACATGTCCGCATGCCCCAGAATGGGTGGAGTTTTCGAGGGGTTGCCTTGGTACTTGGCTTTTCTGCTGGCATGGTGTTTTGAGTTCAGCTACTGGGAAGATTCAATTGGCGGGACTTGTGTAGCAAGCTCCAAAACTATGAAGGAATTCCAGTCTACAGGGGCCCGTTATGCAACCGATGCTGCTTTGGCAGGCTACACAAGCTACTGGGAATATCAGATTGCAGCGTCAATTTAACCAAAGACCATTGACCAGTTCCAATTTGCAGGGTCCTGCGTTGTGTCAAGCTATCGCGGATCTCGAATCTACAGGATGCTGCACTGCGGCACGCCACTGAGAAATTGCAGATTGAAGCTTGTTTTGCGGCAAGCTATTGATAAGTTCCGATTTACAGGGTCTGGTTGCCCGTGAGGGAATCTCATTTTGCAAAATCCCGCTTTGCCGCGGGCGGGCGGGGGGGCCAGCTGTTGAGGACATTGGCGGGGTGGGGGGGCGTGGCGATGCACGTCCCGCAGGGTTGGACCCCGGCGTTCTCTGGCGATGTAGCTTCGTGTGTTCATATGTGTTCATGGGTCTGGCTGGGGTGAGATGTACGCACGCATGTATGTATGCATGTATTCATGCATGCTCATGTATGCATGTACTCATGTATGTATGTAGGTATGTATGTATGTATGCATGTATGTATGTATGTACGTATGTACGTATGTACGTATGTACGTATGTAGGTATGTATGTATGTATGTATGTATGCATGTATGTATGTACGTACGTACGTACGAACGTACGTACGTACGTACGTACGTACGTACGTATGTATGTATGTATATGTATATGTGTAGGTGTAGGTGTAGGTGTAGCTGTAGGTGTATGTATATGTATATGTATATGTATATGTATATGTATGTGTATATGTATTTGCATGTGCACGTGCATGTGCATGTGCATTAGCATGAGCATGTGCATGTGTATGTGTATGTATATGTATATGTATATGTATATGTATATGTATATGTATATGTATATGTATGTGTATGTGCATGTGCATGTGCATGTGCATGTGCATGTGCATGTGCAGGTGCATGTGCAGGTGCATGAGCATGAGCATGTGTATGTGTATGTGTATGTGTGTGTGTATGTATGTGTATGTGCATGTGCATGTGCATGTGCATGAGCATGAGCATGTGTAGGTGTATGTGTATGTATATGTATCTGTATATGTATATGCATGTGCATGTGCATGTGCATGAGCATGTGTTTGCGAATGTGAATGTGTATGTGTATTTTTGTATGCATGCACGTATGTATGTATGTATGCATGCCTGCATGTATGCATGCACGCATGTCAATGTACGTAAGTATGTATGCATGCATTCACGCATGTATGCATGTGTGCACATCCATACGTCTGTATGTACATATACATGTACCTACATATATGCGCAGGTGCGCATGTACGCATGCATGTATATATGTGCACTAGCGTCCAATCCAACCCACCACCATCCCCAGGTATTCCTCCTAGTAGGTAGTTAAACAAGTTAGTAGCGAGCTAGCCGAGAGACGACACGACGAGGTAACACAACCAGCAGTGTCGCCCTCACTCGCACTTTTGATGGATGTGGCACAAATCCCAATTAACCTCTTCTTCTGCAGCTTCTCCCGTAGCCAGGTCCAGGAAGGGCCGCCAGCATGCTCTCGCCGATCACGTCCCCATCGGCCTGGAGAGCATAGCCCCCCTCCATCGTGGAAGTCTTTAGCCCCGTCCATCTGGAGACATAGAAGAAGAAGAAGAAGTGGACGACGGTTGTAGCCATGCTGCCGTACATAACATCGTGTGACGCCTGCGTTCCAAGGCGCGTCGGTCCGTGAGGGGGGTTTCCCCAGCCTACTCCGTGAGAGACGAATATGTAGGAAGTGCGAGACCATGTGCTACTTCGTGACGAAACGTGCAGAGTACTGGAATACACTTTTTGGGACGTTTACCAAGAGGGATTTTAACACGACACATACTACTCAAACGGCTTCCAGTGGATAGTACTTGTACTCTACCTGACGAAACTGAAGGAGTCTTTCCGCCCCGGTCCTGCGCCTTCCTCCTCCATGTTTAGCCGACCCAAAGGATGCCAAGCACCGAAGTGCCCGTCCTATGAGCCGATGTGGCATGCACTCAGCCGGCGTCCCACCTGGTGGCGGTGGACGCCGCCGAGCGAATCGCACGCAGCTCCCAAAGACGAGCATCACGGCGAGCATCTGCACATCGCTGCCTAGCAGACAGACGAAGGCGACGGATAGCATGGAGCCTGGCAGCGGCATCGGCACGAGCATTAAGCGCCCGAAGGCGGTCAATGGCAAGGGCACACGGCGAGCTCCACCCAGCTGGGAGCGGCTTGTTGTGACTCGGCAACCAGGAGAGGACAACCTGCAAGCCTCTCGACTGCAAAATGGACCTAGCGGCGCACAGCTCATCAACAAGAAGTCCAAGAGTGCCGCGCCCATTGAAAGCGTCAAGCAAAGCCTTGCAGTCGACAATGACGTGGCAGACACCTTGGATGCTCAATAGCAGCAAAGCTCGAATGAGCACGACAAGCCCGTAGAGCTCGGCCTTGTGAGACCCCTGATCTTCACCCGGCAAGCCAACCGAAAGAGTGCGACCACCATCGATGGCAAAGCTGGCAGCGGCAACGTGGTCACAGCTGGAACCGTCAGTGGCAACGACAAGGGCGTCAGCAGAGCAGCTCTGGAGTTCTTCAGCTAAGCTCTCACAAAAGTCAGCAACGTCCAAAACAACAGGCGGGGCTGGAAGCTCAGGCACCGGTCTGGCCAGCAACCTTTCAGCAAGCCGGTCCGCAGGTCTGCCAAGCAGGGCACGCGTGGCTGGGAATGCGGGGCACCTCCAAACCAAGTGAGGACGACTCGGCGCCGCCAGGCCACAGTGGCAGTCAGGAAGCTCTTCAAGCTGAGCCCGTTTTGCACGGTCCCAGGCGCTGCAGCCATAACCGAGTGCAAGCTGCTTCGCAAAGAAGGAACCAGTCTGGTACGCAGCGACATGCCCTTCGAAGGTGCACAAAGTGTGTGGAGGCACCGGTGGAAAGTACTCCCCCATCGCCAAGCCAGGGACTCCTCGATGGTAGTTCTGACGAAGCCGTCCGCAAGATTGCAGGGCGTCACGGCGATGCCAATCGGGAAGCCATTCCTTCAGGACCTCGAGGGAATCAAAGCCGAACCAGAACGTGCGAACTTGCCCGACAGAGTCACGACGTTCCACACCTCGCTCCCCCGGAGTTAACCACCAGCCGAGCTCTGCAAGAACAGCGACAACAGCCGGAAGAGTCGTCTGCAGCGGCTGGAGCGCGACAGACAACGGCGCAGTTTCTTGCCAGCGTCTAGTGTGCATCCGAAGGCGGGCAGTCTCAAGAAGCACCGACCAGCGTCGCATGAACACCGGGTCACACTCGAAGCCAAGAACAGCAAGGCACAACGGCTTGGCTTTATCCCGTGCAGTGCTCGAACCGACCCGGAACAGGAAGTCATGACGAAGAGCCCGGGCCTGAGCAACTGAAATCACGCCAAAGGCACCGCCCCAGGTGAGCATGGGCATCACCAAGCGGCTCAGCAAAGCACGGCGAGCCGCAAAGCAACTAGAAACCACAGTGGCCAAGCGAAGCCGGCGACGGAGGAGCTGGACGTCGAAGGCCGCCGGGGTCGCAGCCCCGTCAGAGGCAAAGTCAACAGTGAGCCCAAGGACTCTAAGCTGTGCAGACAATCCGTAGCCACACGCCTCGGCAACCTGCGGAGCAGTGCTAGACGAGGGCGAGGCAGCAAGGGCACACTTTCGCCCGTCGCAGCGAAATCCGAAAGCAGAGTCAAAGGCATCACTGTGCGCCTTCGCAGCTGTGAGAGCCACAGGGTCGCGAGCCCAAAAGTAGCGATCATCAACAAAGGCAGCAGGCTGCACCCCAGTCGTGGCGAGCAAAGCGGTCCAGCCTCGAAGCACCGCGGCGGCAAGCAAGGGGCTAAGAGGACAGCCCTGACACAAACCACGGCTAGCAGAAACCCAGCTCTCCGACAAGAAACCCGAGCGGCTAAAGAGGCGCTCCTGCCCAGTGTACATGGCCGAAACCAACGAGCACAGCTGCCGGGGAGCAGAGAGCTTTTCAAGCACAAGCTGAAGGTCACGCAGGTCAATGGCATCGAAAAACTTCTCCAAGTCCTGTGCCACAACAACGGAGTCTTGATGCTGGCGCATGCCGGCGAGGAGCTGAAAGATCAAATCCTTGCTGCTGCGCCCCGGCACCCCTCCACACAGCGTGTGATCCAGCCACTGCTCCGACCACCCGGAGAGCTGTTCCAGCAAGGCAGCAGAGCCAGTCCGCCACGCGATCGACAAGAGCGACAACGGCCTGCATCCACCCGCCCGCTTGGGGATCAGGGCAATGCGAACTCTCTGCCAGGGCCTTGGCACATCGCCCCTCTGAACAACAGCCTGCCACAGGGCAGCGAGCTGGTTCCAGAAAGGGGATGGTAAGTGAAGAAAGTCCTCGGCGCGCCAGTGGTCTGGCCCACATGCCTTACCCTTCATACGCTTAGCCAAACCCCTAAGGACAGCACCCTCGAAGTGAAAAGAGCCCTGAGGCGCAGCAACCGGAGGCACAGCACGGAGGGCATGCCGGACAGCGTCATCAGAACGAGCCGCTCTCGCAGTCCAACGAGGCACCCAATCAGATGCAGCCTGCTTGATGACCTCAGAAGGAGCAAGCGCAGTGCGAGGCTCAAGGTCACCCAAAACAACAGCCGACTGTTCCACCTCCTCCTCAAGAGCGCAACGGCGGCGCACCCAAGCACACTGAGCTCCAAAGTCGCCCTCCAGGGCCCTGGACCAACGTTTCAGAGCAGCCTGCTTCTCCTCGTCAGCCACCAAAAGCTTAAGCCGAGCAACTAACTCCAAAGCCCCAAGAGGGTCATCGCCACTGAAGGCCTCAAGCTCAGGGAAAGTCTCAGCAAGGCGTGCAAGATCGAGGCAAACTTTCCGGCGCAAAGGACCATCGTGAGGGACACCAGCAAGGTGGGTGAGCCGACGATGAAGCCGTCGAAGGCGGACCAAAAGCAGCGACTCATGACCGCACGAGGCACGATGACGATGACGAGGCCTGTGAGGGTTCCAGAGAGCATGCCGAGGCACAACATGTGACAAGTCACTACCTTCAGAGCCCACAAGAGCCTTTTCAGCAGCGGTAGAGAGCAGCTCCCAAGCACGAGTGCAGTCCGTGGACAAGGCCTTGGAAAAGCCAGCAGCGAACGGGCGCCACACCTGAAGCCACCGTTGCTCGGAAACTTCAGCAGCCAGCAAGGGGGCCCGGGCCGGCCCAACACAACCGAGAGGCTCGAAGAGATTAAGGCCGTAAGCCGTGCCCAAATGATCCGAGCAACCACTGAACGACACAACCTCCGTGGCAGCGACCAGGCTAGAGGCGACACCATAGTCGATTCGGCGGACACGTCCTGGGGAGGTCAGCGGAAGCGGCCCGCAACAAGCAAAGTCCTCATCGAGGGCACGAGCAGACGGAAGAGAAGACAACACGCCCGCCCACGGATCCTCCTCCAAAGTGACATTGTAATCACCGAGAGCAACCCAACAGTGCCCAGCCATCGACAACTGCGAGATGACCTCACGCGCATGAGCAGAAGCAGCAGGAAGGTCGCCAACCTGACCGTAAAGGGAGGCAAAGACAACCTTCCGAACAGAGTCAGCGCACCTAAGCTCCGTCAGCACGGCCACCGCCCGCGAGGGTTCCGAAAGGCCATGCAGCACCAACGGCTTACACTCCAACGAAGCAACCAAGCCAACGCGGTGGCACTGCCCGTTGCTGGGCCCAGCAAAGAAGCGCAGGCCGTGCCTCTTAAACGCAGCAGTCACAGAGGCGACCGACGCACTGTTCAAGTCAATTTCTTGGAGCGCAAGCACCAGCAAATGATGCTCGCGAACCAGAGCAACAACCTCTTCGACCTTGGTGGCCAGAGCCTTGCCAACATTGAAAGTAGCATACTTCATGATTGGACAGGTGCAGCTCGGCGCAGTGCATCTCGGGCCTCTCGAAAAAGGTCCTCAAGCTGGTCAACCGGAAAGCCGTGCTTAGTGGCACGCACTGCCTTGATGCGACGCTCAAGAGTGCGAGTGCGACTAGCATGCTCCTTCTTTCTGGTGGCAAAAGGCCTGCTTGCAGCGCGCTTGCAACAAGATGGCACCCACGACGCAGCAACAGGCGGCGGACTGGCATAAAGATGACAGCACTTCAAACACTGCAGGACGCGGCGGACAGTGAACTTGCCTCTGGAACGGCCCGGCGGATATTCAAGGCAAGGCCGACGCACAAATGCAAAGCCAGTGGGCGGACACAGCGGCTGAGAGTCGTGACGAACAGCACGCTTGTTGGCACAAGAGGCACGCCGCCTGGCCAAGGCACGCAACCTAGCATGTGCTTGGCCACAGGCGGCCTTCTGATAGTCAGCATCAGAGACGCTCGGGTGTCGCTGCTGTCGGTGTCTCGCAACAGCCGTCTCCTTAGCGTACTTGCTGGCCAGAGCACCCTCTGGCAAACCAAACCTGCAAAGCGGGCACTTCCAAGCATAACGCTCAGCATCACACTCAGCCTTGGACAGCGATCGAAAAATGCCGTAGTCGACACGTATGGCCCCAGGCAGGCCCGCACCACCATGAAAGCGAGTAAGGTGATGAGCACGAGCACTTGACACCGAGTTGCGACTCGGATTCTCGTACACAAAGTCACAGTGCTGACAGACGAAACGAGGGATGACCCCCTGAGCCAAGGGATTCTCACGAAAGCGCCTCTGGCACTGGGCATGCTTGCTTGGAGTGGCAACCTGGTGAGCCCCTTCAACATCATCATCGGCATCATTCGCCCGCGGGCGCTTGGAACCACGAGAGGCCGTGCGACCACCCAAGGACGACGCAGCACAGTTGAGCCCAACTTTGCCAGCAGACTGGGACACAGCACCAGACGTTGAAGCAACAACCCGAGCAGAAGCAGTACGCCCACCAAGCGAGGAGGCCCGAGTGCGGCCCCCCAACGTGGAGGGGGCGCCACCCCGGAAGTTAGGAGCAGTGCGCCCACCGCCCGCAGAAGACGCAGCACAGTCAGGCACATCCTCAGCAGAAAGCTGTTTCGAAGCACGCGTGGCCCGCGCAATGGTACGGCCACCAAGGGTCGAGGCAACGTCAGTGTGACCTCCGAGTGTGGACGGTGCCTGGCGCACCCGCGAAGTCCTCTTAGAAGCAGCCGTGCAGCCACCCAACGAAGAAACAGAGCGCGGAGCACCTCCTCGGTCTGCAGGGTCACCAACCTCAGCCTTGACAGCCTGAGCGGAAACTGCCTCAACGTCGCCAACAAGAGCTTGGTAGTGGCGGTGCTGAAACCAAAGAGTGAGAGGGGTGGCCTTCGAGTTGGTCGGTCCAAAAACTCTTATATCAAACTCGCCATCGAGGGGCCTGACAACAAAGATCGGCTGGTTGAGAGTGGAAGCCAGAGCGGCCAGCTCGATCGAGCCGCCCCAGGCCTTGTCGCGGCCGATAAGCCTGAGATATTCGGCAAATCCTTGGCTTTTAATGTCGCTCTGCTCCGCGTTCGGAGCGTCCCCGCGCCAGAATGCTGAGTAGGTGGCCTCATGTTTGCGCAGATGGGTCACGCATAAGTTGCGAAGGTCAGTCGCTGCTCTGCGCGAACGCCCCTGCGCCACAAGGGCCTCGCTGACCGCCAAAAAGAGGCAATCTCCTTGGCCATCATTGTCGATCAACTTCATACCGCCAGGGATATTCGGCCCAGAGCAGGCAGGAGTGCTGCCAGTTTTCGGTCGCTTGGCGATCACATCGTCAGAGCCCTGGCTGGGCAACGACTTGCCATCATCCAGGCGAAGACGATCACCTCCACCATCCACCGTCATGCTCTCCCTCACGTCTTGGGTCTCCTTGGCAGAAGCGACAGCTTTGCTAGGGCCAGGCTTGGTTTGCTGCTTGCGGCGTCCAGTGAAAACCTGCTTGATCTCAAGAGGCAACGCACGATCTCGAGCATGATGAGTGTCTCGCCCAAGCCGCGAAAACTCAATCACAGCACCATCGAGGTCGATGGAAAGGAAGTCGGAATCAGCAGGCATGGTAATTAGCACGGAAAGTCCATGCCGTGGCCCCTTTCCAAGGGAGCCTCTCCTCAACGCACGGCTCCTCGAAGCGGCACTCGGCAAGGAACTCATTCACCTCCTCAACGCTCCAAGAGCGCGGGACACCACAAGCCCGCCACAGACGACGAAGAGTGCGAGGCTTGGCGAGCTCGGCCTCAGAAGCAACCCGCCTGACACCAAGTTGTTTGGCACCCCTGGCAAGGCCAAAGTCGACCGCCTGAGCGGCCCGTCGGCAGCGTGCAAGGTATGTCCCCCACGCCTCGTTGGGCTCCCATTCCTGCCAATGGACCGACAAAGCAGGACCCCTTGAAGCTCCTGGGCCCTGCTAACGATGGAAACGAACCAAGTCTCGCCCCCATGCCGGGAGCCAGAGGCCGACATCGCAGCTGCAACTCGGGCCGACGGCATGCGAATGAGTCCCTCGACCGTAGCCTCAGCACCTCCTGGACCGCGGGTGAGCTGCCACTGCCATGTATCCTTGATGCTACCGAAAGAATCAGCAGCCCAAGCCCTGAAATGCGCACCAGGGTTCTTGGTAATCTCAGCCCACGCCTTCTCTCCCTTCTCACAGTACACCCAGTCAGAGTGCACGCGAAGCACAGAAGTACTCTGAACAACCGGAGCCTTGGGCTTAATCACTGTCGACCTAAGGGACGGCGCCTCAGGAGAGCACTGGGCCATCCAGACAGAAGCAACACGAAGATGATTCCTCCAGGTGCCCGGAACTCGGGCCTCAGTCCACTCGACTTCTGCAAACTCCCGCCGCCCAGCCTCGAGCTCGCCATCACCTTTGAGCAACACGAAAGTAATGTCCGGGGCAATCTCACTCGATTGCACAAGGGTGCGAAAGCGCTCCAGCTCGCCAGCGGTCTTGGGGTAAACGACATAGTCCAGGGTGGGGTCCTCCCACACTTCGTCGATGGTGCTCACGACCACAGCGCCCGGATCCCAATCAGCCGCACGAGGGCACCAGTCAGCAGCGCGCATAGGACTATCGGCTCCAGAGCTTTTGTCCTTGACAGCACCACGTCCCTTGCCAGAGCCCTTAGCAGCAGCCGGTCCTTTGCCAAGTTGCACAACACGAGTGGGCACCGAGTCGCCCTGCTTCTTGCCCTTGGGCTTGCGCCGGCTGACAGTCTGCCAGCCACCATCGTCAGCAGAGGGAGCCGGCGGCCGCCCCGTAGCAGCGGGAAGCTCATCGCGCCACCGTGTCGTCGAAGACTCATCGCTCCACCATGCATCATCGGCACCAGCACAGCCACCCCCATTCCAGCTGGACGAAGGGTCTTGCCAGGCATCAGCCCGCACAGCACGTCTGTGCCTCCATCGGGGCGCAGACGGAGCAGCCCGTTCAGCAGATGCAGTTGCTCCATGCCCCCCAGTCCACTGCTGCAGCAAGCGTTGCAAAGCTCGAAACGGGTCAGCCGGCCGAGCCCAAAGCAGCTGCTCTAGTTGCTGAAACAGCTCCTCCGCCCCATCATCGGCACCTTGGTCATTTCCATCCTCATTGCCCCAATCCTCCAGAAGGCCATGGAGACCATGAAGCAAACGTTCGGTCCTCTTGCGTCGTGTGGCACTCGAGCCACCTGCGCCACCACGGAGCGGATCAGCCGAGCCACCTCCGACTCCCTGAGCCAAAGCGCCTCCGGCCCCAAATTCGCCATCAGCACATCCCCCAGCCATAGCATCAGCCACAAAATCGTTCATGATGACATCGGCACCACTACTGCAACCACTCGAGGCCTCAGCCCCAAAAGCGTTCATGACGACATCGGCGCCACTACTTCCATGCACTGCACATGGCGAGGCAAAACGCCTCCGCGATCCCACAATGAGGGGAGGAGAAGCACAAGACCTTCCAAGCCCTCGTACACACCGAGCTCGAAGCGCGCAGGCATGGCGAGGCCACACCGCAATCCAACGAACACGCCCACGGCCTCGTAAAGCACAAAGCTGGACAGAACGTCGGAACATGAGAGGTTGACGTCTCCTGAAACAGAGCCGCATCCGGCCCGCCCGGCGAGCGGCCCAAGCAGCTGTACAATAACTCCCTGCCATAGGTGCCCCTGTACAGGGCGCGGCACCCAAAGCATGTAATCCACGCATCCGCCGGCGGCGCTTCTTGCGCTTGCGCCGGAACGCCTGCCTGAACCGAAGTGCTCGAGCAGGACGATGAGGACTGAACGCAAAAGGGCAGCGTGCTCCCACAGCAGCATGCCCAGTGGCCGAGCACCCACGACTCCAGCCACAGCAAAGTCGAAAGAGGTGGCCCTCCATCACTAGAGCCTGAAAGAAAAGCCCCCAAGGGCACAGGCGACAACTGGCTCCCACAGCCACCAGCCACCCGAGAAACATCATCAAACCACGTGCCAGCCGAAAACTGGACCAGCACACCGAATTGCACATCGAGCTGCCAATGAAGCACAAATAGAGCATGACACGGCAGCACCACATGGAGAAGCATTCGCACCCACCTGCCAGTGGGCCCGCACGCACCTCGGGGAGGTTCTTCTCTCGCGTGCGGTCCTGCGCCTTCCAAAAGACACCTGCGTTGACAATCTGACTTCACAAATGTTCACCCCACCCAACAGTCCCCCAACAAGTTTCCGTCACCTGAGGGCGTCCCGGTAGGACCTTCCCTTCCTTGAGGGCTCCCGATAGGAGCACTTCACCTTGACGGAGATAACCCCGCACCCTAAAAGCAACTGCACAAGACTTCCTTTCAGGACTTCCTCTAGTGACTGCATCAACGTCTGAATCTCCTACCCACAGATGCACCCGCCCAGGTCCAGCCTGCTCATCCCCGTCATGGGTGCCTGCTTCCCTTTCCCCTCGCCTTTTTCCTTTCCCTGCTCCTTTCCCTTTTCCTTTGTCTTCCTTTCCTTTGGCTCTGGTTTTGGGCCCCCGGCCAGGGTAAACCTGGAGTTTCCCTCCTCCGCTCTCCATCTTGGACCGTACATATAGCGCCCAGTTGATGATCTTGCGGATGCTTTCCCCCAGCAAGCGGCTCGGCCCCCAGCACAAAGGCGTACAGTATATCTTCCGCTATTCCCATAAGAGCATCATGAACCTCTGTAGCCAGAACCCTCGCCGCCGTAACCCTGATGGATTCTCCTTTTGCCGTTCCGCTTTCAATGTCCGTCCACAAGCTGTCATGTCCGACACTGTGCTCCACCCGAAAGAAGCAATATTGTTGTGAGATCCAACCGCCCTCCGTGCCCTTCCAACGACGTCTCTTCTACTTCAACCCGCCCCAGTCTGTCTTCCAACTCCTGGACTTTACGTTTCCTGGCTGCCGCGTTTGCCATGGAAGTGGCAGGGAAAGGTAGGCCAGCACAAAGGTTACCACCAGGAGAATGCGCATGTCAAGCTCGCTACACCGGAAAGCTCGACTGGTAGCGGCCACATCAGGGTCGTTTGGTGCTGTGCGGATTAAGATCTTCCTGGTACAGGTTTGCAACTGAAAACATAACTTTAAGGTTGGCAGGGACTGGCAAGCATTGGAAATCCTGAAATCTTTGTTTAGTGATTTAATAGTGATCTGATTTGTGATCAAATCAGTGATTTGGATTTCTGGACTCACCAATTTAGTGATTTAATAGTGATCTGATTTGTGATCAAATTAGTGATTCGGAATGAAAATAGTGAAAAAAATGAATCCACTGAAAATAATGAAGAAATAGTGAAAAAGTACTGAAAAATAATGAAAAAATGAAGAAATAGTGAATCCACTGAAAATAGTGAAAAAATAATGAAAAAATAATGAAAAAAATAGTGAGTCCACTGAAAATAGTGAAAAAAATGTAAAAATGAAAAAGAGTGAAAAATTGAACATAATTTAAAAATGAAAAGTTAGTGAAAAAAATAGTGAATCCACTGAAAATAATGAAAAAATAATGAAAAATTGGTGAAAAATAATGAAAGAATAGTGAATCCACTGAAAATAGCTAAACAATAATAACAAATAGTGAATCCACTCCGGGTGCACCTGAAGTTTGTCGCCGCCGTCCATCTTCGATCGTACGTACAGCGTCCAGTTAATGACCTTCCTGATGTGCTCCCCCAATACGCGGCTCGGTTCCCCAGCAGCGAGGCGTATGCTGTACCGTCCGCTTCCATCCTTGGCCACCCACTCGATGAGGTCGTCGAGTGAGAAAGCTCTCGCCGCTGCCTTTCATTGGAAGGGCCCGTCTGCTGTTGCTAACTTCCGAAGCTTTCTCCTGCCATGTCTCATCTGCCACCGCCCCCGTGCCCTCGAGATCATCACGAACTTCAGTGCCCAGCACCCGAGCCGCTGTAACTCTGATGGACTATCGCTTTGCCGTCCCGCTTTCGATGTCCGCCCACAATCGGTCAAGGCCGGCACTGTGTTCAACCCGACAGAACCTGTATTGTTGTGATTCTTCGAGGCGAAGTTCCACCAGATCCAGCCGCCTTCCTTGCCCCTCCACCGTCTCCTCAACCCGCCCCAGTCGGTCCTCAAGTTCTTGGAGCTTACGTTTCCTTGCTGCAGCATCTGCCATGGGAAGGGCAGGGAAAGCTAGGTCAGCACAAAGGTCACCACCAAGAGAGTGCGCATGGCAAGCTCGCTACGCTAGGATGCTCGAATGATAGCGGCCACATCAGGGTCGCTTGGTGTTGTGCGGATTAAGACCTTCCTGGTACAGGCTGGCAACTGAACACTGAACTGCTACATCTCCCGACATGCCATGTCCCTACGAAGTCCTCGAACTCTCTCGTTTTCGCTCATGCTCCAGACCTCTTCTTCGACAACTTACCTATGCCCCCGTCCCGGAGAGATTCTTCCGCGTGTGTGTAGCGTTCATGGTTCTTGCGGGCTATAACACTACCTAGAACCTTATGACAGTACTTGCATGTCTTGTTGGCTGCCCCCGGACCTCTACATTCCGCGGTAAATCACAATTGCGAAACTGTTCATTACACTTCGAGCAAGTAAGTGACTAGCGGATGTCGTCTTCGTCGGGGCGCGTCCACATTCGCGGCAGCCGGTCGATGTCTCACCCTCTGATTTCGTGGTGCTTGCGGTGGTGCCGCTATACGCTGGTGTGCCCCCATAGGCCCGTCTGGTGACCGAATCCACGACAGCGCATGAGGAGATACACTGCCCAACGCCCCTCGATCCGCCAGACGGTCTGCGACTTCATTTCCATGCACCCCGGTACGCCCATACACATGCCTAGATTTGAGGACGAAGACACGACGTACTGCACTGACCAGGGTTGCAACTGATTCGGACAATGCCCCATTCTCCCTATCCCTAGTGAGCCTGGTCGCTAACCCATACGCGTACTCTGAATCATACAGTATGGTCGCTCTGCGCTCCGCATCTTGGGGTAGTCTGCCATGTAGTACAAGTTGCCACTTACACGCCTTTCGTGAAGAAGACGTAGCGCCACCTTGCGGTGGCATAGTCTCCGCAAAGGAGTGCGTAACGCCCTGCAAAGAGACTGCAGTATGTCACAGCCAGCCGACAGAGACTGCAGCATCAAGCCAGCTAGCACTAATTAAGAAACAAAACTTCAGCACAAACACGCACTACAAAGGGGAATGAGGGACGTGAAAACGTAAGCAACACACAATCAAGCCGTCTGCACTCGCGGATTTTACAGACAAGCGCTCGGACAATGCCGAGAGTCGGACAGTACCGACAAACACCTCCGGACGGTACCGGGGTGCATACACAAAAGGGGAAAATTTTGGGAGTTTGTGCTCTAACCATCCCTTCAGGATCTTCGGCGCTGAAACCCTGCACCTTCACGCGCGTCCGGGCTTTCGCTTCGCCTTTTCACACCCGTTGGCAGTAACCCCTTGCCCTGGCCCTTGCCTTTACCCTTCACCGGAACCCCACAGTCTTCTGCCACTTCGCGGTAGAGAGTCGTTGGTCGCCAGGTTCCTGGCTTTACTCCAAGCTCGGGCCACATGCCGTTCTATTTGGAGACCAGGCGTTGAATCTCATCTGTATCCCACAGAGCGCGTATGTTCCTTCCGCGTGCAGACCCAGCGAAGGTGATTACTAACACCCACGGTGCATCCGTAGTAGGGGGACGCTGTGTGTTAGAGATGCCGGTGATATCCGAGCCAGCAAGAAATCCAGCAATCTCTTGGCAGCGAGTAAGTGCCTCCGGGCACACCTTCTCGGCGTAAGCCACCATATGCTGGATGAGCCGAGCCCGTTGTACATCAAGACTTTCAGCGGTTCGACGCGCCCTGTGCTTGCGGAAGCGACCCCACCACCTTCGCGTGCCTGATCACGAGCATCTTGGTACGTCCTCAAAATGCCCTGCATGTGCTCGCGAAAAAGACCGGTGAGGAAAACTGCGACCTGCAGCGCCGCCTTAGCCTCTCCAGCATCCCGCGCGGTAAACATTGTCAGCTTACTCGAGCGTTCAAGCTTCGCCTTGAGCTCACGTAGCTCTTCGCCTTTTCGTCGCACTTCGTCTTCAAGGTGGTCCCTCTGTGGCCCCTTCTCGCCCCCATCCAGACTGGATCGTACGCCTGCGTACAAACCGGCCCACACAGCGCTGCCAGCCATGGCAAGTCCGGACTAGGTTCCTGCACCCCATACACCACAACACCCCATCCTGCCTGCTTAGGTTCCCCTACACTGTGACCGCCACCCCCAGACCCATCTGTGAACACGAACCACTCCGACGGCAAAGGAGCCGACACCCCGCTGTCCTGCCCCCCCACCTGCCGTTCATGATCTATCCTGTTGAACCTCGCGAGTCTGCTTTTAGCCGGACACACGTGTGTTTTCAATTGTTGTGCGCGCCTAAAAACCTGGAAACAGGATTCACATCTGAATGACTGCACCGTGGTAATCTTGGGATCGCATACTGAATGTTCCGCTTCGTCGTGAAAAGCCAGCTGGTTCGTTTTTGCAAAGGTCTCGCCACACACAGGGCATGTAGGCACTCCGACTCCTCTAGCTTCCTCCTATTCTGTCGCAGCCTGCGTGAGCGCCGACCATATGATCTCGCTTCCGGTTCCGCATGTCCGCCTCTCCTGCGTTCCCCTAGTTCGTCTTCGCTATTCACAAAGTCTTGTTCTACCGGGTCCCCCCCTCCCTTGGTTGTGCCCACACCGGTATAGGATCGCCCAAACGCCACTGATCTAACTCCCGCTCCCTTTCCCGCAGAACCGCTTCAACCGGAAATGCACTGTACACCCGCTTCTTCCATTCTGAACGTTCCTGAGCCGGTCTAAACCAGTCCATTTCGGATAAGTTGGCAGCCCTGAGGCAGGAGTTGATCCACTGTGCCTGTTTGAAAGGACACCTTTGTTTCGCTTTGGTGCATTCATTCCACCCGAACAGTAGTTGTTTCTGCGGTTGCGACGTTGTCATTCGTGCCACGTGCCCTAACCACAGCAGGGACGCCCGGCGCACTGCTGCTTCAAATGTTTCCCACTGAACCATTCTGCGCATAACCGCATTTGTCAAGCCCTGTCTGCGCAGGTCCTGAATCCTGGCATTGAAAACTCCTTATGGAGAAATTGATGATGTTTTGCATTCGGTGTACTTGATTCATTTGCCACGCCCGTGTATGAGAAAAGGTCAACTCTCTCCTTTTTGCCGCCGCCTTTAGCACCTTAACCCGAACACTTTTCTACAAGTCGTGCTTACGTCTCTTTGCTGCCTTGCCACGCGTCCATGCCGCAGAAATTTCTTAATTTTTCTGAACACACTTCCTGGCCGCCCGGTCCGTTTCCATAGTGTGTCCCGCCCGTTCTGTGACAATGCTCCCCACGTGTTTAACAGATGCGATCTCCCCCAACCACACTACATCTGTTCACTGCTGAATGCGCATCCTTTCCAGAATCGATGTCATCTTAGTGAAGTTCGTGGTCAATTTCCCCAGCCTCCGCTCCCAAGCCCTGCGTACTTCTGTCAACTTCCTGCCTACACTAGCCCTACTACTCGCTCTCTGCGCCGTCCCGCCGGGTCAGTCACTAGAGAAAGTCCTGTCCACTCCCGTTGCAACTGATCTTGCTGTGCCCGTAACCTACCCATATCCGCTGACGTCTCCCCCGGGTGTTCAACTTACGCCTACACGCTCGCCCGCTTCAGAGCCTGGGTCTCGTTTCCAGAATACCTGATGGCCCCCTGGCAGACACCGTAGGGTTCACCCGCTTACCGACCCGAGTCCGCGATGCAGACCACACGGGTTGCCCCGACCGCCCCGACACCCCTCAACACCAACCCCAGGGAGGGAACACACGCCATCAATGATGGCATTCGACCCAACGGCCCCAAAGGTTTAGGCCGAGACGGCGTCAAGATGGTTGGCCATCCCGCTCCCCTCCCCCGGTACATACTCGACTATCAAAGTGTGAGTTTGTTCCGGGAGGCTCCTGCCGGCCTGGCACGTATGGGGTTAGTACGTGCCTGTTGTTGGATTTTGCCGTGTGCTTTTGTTAAGATGTTGTGATGTTGATCTGACCTCTCTCTTTCTCGTCTGAAGACCTACACAAGAACGCGACTCGACATGTCCACCCACAGCACATGCATGACAGCGGCATGACTACACATGTGAGACCGCAAGGCTGCTATTTAATCCCCTCGTACCTCTGGCGCTTGACTAGTGCAGTCCGGCACGAGTGTCCGCTCACCGCCCGCTGGGAGGACATAGCCAACCGGTGGTGAGCGATAACTATATATGCCATGTATATCGCAAAATATCTACACATACACGTATTGTAGCGCTCCGTATGCAAATGAGAAAGCTACATGAAAATGCATGGAGAGGATATGCTATGATACGTGCTTGGAATATACACTAAATATGTACATACCTGCATGCATACAGACAGTCAGACTGACCGACAGACCTGCCCGCACACGTCGTACATACCTGCCCACCTACCTACCTACCTACCTACCTACCTACCTACCTGCCTGCCTGCCTACCTACCACCCACCTACCTGCGCACCTGCCTACCTACCTGCCCTGCTTACATACGAACGAGCGATGCAATTCATTGACAATAGCAGGAATTCTTGTCTTTGTGAAAAGAAACTACGCACCATACACAGCTATGGGTGCAGGGCAGTCCCGACCAACGGACGGCAGCGACCGCAACGACGAAAGTACCGGCAGGATGAAGCACCAAAAACTGGAGTCTCAAAATGTGTCGCTCAAAGCAGCCCAGGCCCCAGCGCGTTAACTCACGTTCAAAGGGCAGCCGAGAGCGGGACTTCTCCAAAACCCGAAGCGCTGCCAGGGCTGTTCCCCCCCCGTGTCGCCTCAGACACCGCAAACCGCGGTCGGCCGGTCTGAGAGCTTGAAAGCAGCAAAAAAGAACGAGCCTTAGGATGGCCAGAAGCGCTTCGACGCCCTGGTGGAAGGGCAGTGGGCACGAAATGAGGGATGTCAAAGCAAGAAAAGGTGCCTTCAGTTGCGCAAACTCCTGGTGGACAGGGAGGCACTCCTTGTCGTAGAGCAAAGCCAAAAGCCTGGCTCGAGATAGAGTTTCCGAGGAAAAGTTCAAGGGCTTGTGAACGGAATGGAAGGAAATTCCCATACACCTCGAGACAGCCAACGACGATGACGAAACTAAGCCCTGACCGCTCAAGAAAACTGAACGACAAGGTTCAAAACGGGACTCCTTCCTTACTGGTACCAGACCAGCTGCCCGACACTGAAAACGAGGAACAGGACAAGGAATTCATCCTGTGACTTCACCCTCGAGCGGTCGCTCTGTGGTTTTGAAGGCGAATCGAAGTATCTGCTCATAGGTCCCTGTCGGTCTACCACGAAACCTGTTTGTTTACGAATATACCTCCTTGGACAAAGCAATGCGCTCGAGGCGAGCGGGTCAAAGGGTTGAGGCTCCTTCAACTGATAGTTGGATGAGTGTTCAAGGTTTGCAGCTGGGTTGTTGAAATGCCCCTGACTGCTGAGTAACTCCACCAAGACTTCAGGGATGGGATTAATCACGGATACTAGTTCAGCTTCGGAGTCTCCTAGAAACCTGGATAGCACGCCGAGCAGACCCATGGCAGATTCTCTGCACGTGCTCTGCGCTCCCCGCATTGATCGCAAGGGCAGAGAGGGCGTTGCCTCCGACGCAACGAAAGCGAACTTATCGGCTATGGTGCTGCCATGTGCCGCTGTTGGCTGTTGGGGGCTGGCCTAGAGTGGCTGCCCCAGGTGGTGTCGCCGCTGCACCCTGCAGGCCCTGCACCGCCGCAACTGCGACCTCGAGTCGTCGAGACTGCAGCAAAAAAAAGCGCTTGTCTGAAGCATCGCCTGTGGCAGGGCAGCCGCCGTGCGGCGGATGGGGGAATCCGGGAGACCGCTCAGCGCATTCTTCCTTTGCAAAGCTGACATGCGCTCGTTTCATCAGCGCAGCCTCATAGCCGTCTGCGCATCCAAGCGGCTTTCGACGCAGCTGGTCGGCGGCCCAATCCCGATCCTGGCTTGCGGCGCACGTCTTGGTTCTTACGCAAATGTGGGATTTCCTACTCCCTTAGACTAAGCTTCTCTGTGAATGCTTTCTCCTACTCCACCTTCCACGGAACAGCAGATGAGCTGCGTGAGGTTGGGCTCTTCTGAACTACGCTCGACGCAAGCGTGAGAGGCTTGGCCATCTCGGTGTCATGGCTGTAGTTCATGAGGGAAGGCCGCTCGGTAGCCCCGCGTTGGCGCTACCTAGTCCAGTCCTACCCCTGGGAAGCTGCCCAGCCCAGCATTTCTTTCAGAGCCCACAGGCACGGCTCATTCAGCCAGTAAGATATGCCTGCAGGTCACTGTGAGGCAGGAAAATCTCGCGGCTGTTCGCATGTGGTGCCAATCATTTTTCCCCACACCAAAATCATAAAATCATGATGGCGCTGAGACTTGCGGGACCAGGCCGGCTTGGCGATCCAATCATGTTGCATGGGAATTAGTGTGTGGTGGTTACAATCACCACGAAAATGAGCTACCTACAAGCTCAAGAAAGCTCAAGTGGGCGAAAAGAGCCCACGTCGTTGGTAATCGGCCAACAGGCACGAACTCTATCGAGAGCCGTCATTTCTCACCTTAACTTTGAGGGCGGCGAGGGTACAGCATATGCTAGACAGTCAGGCGATGTCAGGCGTTTTTGCAGCCTTACTCACTCGCCAACTGCTCGTAGCCCTGCCACGCGAGGCGACGCGAGGCGAGGCGGCTGAAATCCCCAGCGGAAGCCATGGCCACGCGCCTTCTCAGCTTCCAGGAGCATGGCTTCGCCGGCATCCACTGCCTCCCTGGAGGGGCCAATACGACATAGGCATAAGCAGACATGCAGACCAAAGCGGCCTGGCTGCCGCTTTGCCTGCCACAAAGACGATGTGGTGTCGCATGCGAGTACAGGTAACTCAGCATGCTTTGAGAGCCTGCTGGCCCGGCCAGGATGACTGCAGCCGCTGAAGTCAAGAGAATACCACCAGCAAGACGAATGAAAAGCGCCTGCAGGTAGCAGGGTCAACCAGTCGGACTTACAGCTTTAACCCATACGCAGTGGACCCGGAGACACCTGACTCAAGGGAAATGTCGTCAGCACCAGGGCCATGTTCAGGGCCTCAGTCGGTGAAAGGCCGCTGATGCCTAGCCGAGAGACACAGAAAGGTTTAGTCAAGATGCCATAATGACCAGCAGGACCCGACCATTCAAGGGATGCGCCAGATGTCGAATCTTACCCACCTTCACTTTGGCTGCACACGATCTCGTACATGATTCGACTGTACATGAGATGATGGGTGAGACGGTGTCCTGCCTGAAGCCCCAAATACTTTGACCAGCCCTGGAAAGCCTGGCTGGCGCGCGTCAGAGAGAAGAATGGAGCAGCCCTGCATTGGATGGAGCTCGGACCCACCCGCCCCACCGGCCCCCCCCGCCCGCGTGCGCCTGTAAGAGCATGCAGCCCAAGACCAGGTATCCAAGCAAGGCATGGGCTGTCCTCGAGGCTGGCGGCAGGTGTTTGCTTTATGCGACATTCGACGATCATGAGCGACGGCATAAGGTAGCGGCTTCGCTGGAGGGTTGCCGGGGTCGAAACCAAACTGCGAACCGCCTGTCGGAACAAGTCACCACAAGGTCTGGCTTCCAACGCCTTCAAAAAGTAGGTCCCACCCATCAGCTGATGATTTCTGAAGATGCAGCAATAGCCAACCTTAATTTCTCGTCACTCGGCCGAAAAGCCAAGACAAACGCATTACGCCTGAATTCTCGCCGGCTGACCACAGCGACAAGCACAGCACAGGTCTGGATTGCGGCATGGATCGCCCGGACGCTGTCTCTGCTCCTCAGACGCGGGTATGACCAAAGTCAGCAGTAGGCACTTCTCCCTGTTCAGCTGCCGACTTGCTCACTGGCAGCACATAGATCACCTCTGTCTGTCTCTGTAGGATGCAGCTCGTGCAAAGCCTGTGCTCTGAGATCGGCACCGAGCCGCTGGTCATCAGGCACCAGCAAACGAGCATGGCCGCAATATGGCCGAAGAAGAGAACCGGCATTGCCGTAAACCTCAACGCCGGGGTGCTTGCTGCCCTTTCTTCTCGCTGCACGACATAAAAGCCGTGGGCTACCAAGCGACTGGGCGGCACAGTCAATGCACAATGCGACAGCGAGCCCAACCACTCCAAAAGCCCAAATCGCCATGGCCATTAGCTCGTCGATCCCCTGTTGGTCACAGGTCTCGGTGCAGAGGTTGCAGACGCTTAGCTCTAGTTAAGCATCCACATTGCTGGAAGATCCATGGAACTTAATGACTGGTTGGCAGTGAAGCATGCCGTGTCGATCCAGCTTCTGTTCCCAGTCCACTGCCGAAATGGGTCGAAGCGGTCATCTTCTCAATGCTGGCAATGCTTCGAGTCTTGGGCCGAAAGGTCTTTCATGGTTTGTGTCAACTCGCAGATTAGATTGAGTAGGCACGCGCACAGCCCCGCTCTCACTCTTCGGCTTTGCTCGTGAAACATCGGAGGACGTGACGAGACAGGGCGCATCACAAAAGTGATCGGTCACCCAGCGACGATCTCCTCTATACTACGACAACTCGAATTCAGGGATGGCTATTCGCCTTGCTCCCCTCGCGAAACCTACGTGTCGTAGCCTTCACCCTGTATGAAACCCACAAGCTCCTGCAAGCGCAACACGGTTCATGAGCTGATGGCGCAGACATTGCCAAATCGATACTGCGCTGAGGCAACACCTGGTGGTTGATGGGTAATGACTATCCTGGCTGGACTGCCGTATCAAAGCGCTTGTCGATCCAGGCACATAAGATAAGGGAGATTGCTCCTTCAAAGAGAGACTATTCGTACTCCAATGATCCTCCTTGACTCTCTCTGTGCCGGCCTCGATGTCCACTGCTCCAGAGAAGTCTGTATCCATGATCGCACAGAAAGACTGGATCTGATAGTCCGGGACTACACTGGGCGGAATCCTGAGATCTCCAGTCAAGATGCACAAACTTCGACACCTGACATTTGCATTAACTCGCGCCTTCCCGAGACATTCAAGAGCTCTTGGGCTCTCGGGAGGACTAAGGCGACTAAGGCAGGCAAAGTAGCCGCAGGACGCGTCGGAGGGCGGCCTTCACCTCATCAATCTCCAGCTCGCCGCTGCGGTCCTTCCATGCGGATCACTGACGGCACAGCTGCGACTGCCAGTGGATCCTTGTCTAGTCGCCGGAAGAGAAGGGCGAGATCGACGCCACTCCATCCAGCATACCTAGAATAAACATAACAGAACCTTGCAAACGTTCAACTTGTCCGCAGCACCCACAACTCCCAGACACGAATGATAATCCGCAAAGTCGAAACACGAACACTGGGTGTAAGACTGACATATGCGTCCCAAGCTGCGCAGCTCGAAGAATGCAGTTTTTGATCTTCTTCACTGTCTGGCCACGGACGCATGTCTCCAGCATGCATGTACGGCGCACTCAAAGGCAGGCTTTGGTGTCCAGTGTTGGCGGTGTTGGCAAGCCACGCTTCTTGCGCTCCTCATAGCGCACGTCTGCCTCTAGCCTCTGCGACTGCATGCAACACAAACAAAGAAAGTCAGAGCGGAATGAGCCCAGCAGGGTCCTCTGCGACAACGTTGGCCAGACGTGCCTGGCAGCCGACAACAATGCATTACCGTCGTGTTATTGATCAGATCATCTACAGAAGAGCATGTTGTGGAATCACAAGTTCAATTCGGTAGCAAAGCATGTTTGTCGCGTTTGTACAGCCTGCTGCATGGTGAATTGTGGTGCTTTCTGCCGTGTCAGTTTTGCAACAGGAGCGGCGCACCTTCATCTGAGCCCGTTGCCGCTTCAGCTCTGCGACCTTCGCAGTTCCATGTATCAAGCGCAGCAGGCACCAACGTGTGGAGGCTCCTGTTGACGCAGAGCATTGATCTCTTCCTGCTCTCTTGCTGCATCCTGACGAAGACAACACTTGTTGTCTCGACTGTCCGACATGTACATGCTGCTCAGAGGGCCTACGAGACGGAAGGCCTGATGTAACCTAGCAAAATGCTTCATTTTGTTCCAAAGCTCTTAGCAAAAGGGCATTATGCCGGCGCAGATCCCCAAAGAGTGAAAGAGCCCCTGGCAGTCCAAGCCCGTTCAAGCCCCCCATTTCGAAAGCACCGCTGAGAGTCCGAAATGCGTACCACACTGTGGCAGGTCCAGTTGCCAACCTAACCTCTCGCCCGTCCGATCATGTTGGTGGCATCACTACGGTTGTTCAGGCTCATGGACACTCTCATCCGAGTTCAAGAACCCCCAAAAAGAACGCTGCCCTGCAGGGCTCTGTTGGGAGTTGCATGACACGACGGGACCTCCAGCGAGTTGATACCGCAGCGGTCGAAAGTCTCCTGGAGATGGAGAGTGCAAAGGTTCCGAAGCGTTCCCTGGCATCGAAAAAGACTCCAGATTCTCGAAGAAGCACAAAAATGTGCTTTTGGAAGGCAGGTTTACTGTAAAGTGTAAACTGGCTGAATAGCTGTTCGCCTTGAACGAATTCGAAAGGTACACGCCCGCTCCTGCTCGAGGAGCCACCTAATTGCAGCAATGCACCAGGCAACAGAAAGATGCAGCAGGAAAGCGAGTGGCAAGACTGTGCACATGCCCACACATCTCTCTGGCTGCGACCTCAGCATGAATCGCTCCGGATCTCGAGGACATTCCTTCAGGAGGCTCATGACCATCTCCTGGCCAAGGTGTTTCCCAGCAAGCAGTCTCCATGAGTTGAGTACGCAGACGATCTTTTGCTGGCTGATGCGGCCTGAAGCACTGGGTTCACGTATTCCTGCAGGAGGAAATATGAAACCAGTGCAAGCGGGTGCTCAAGCCGAGAAAGTAACTCCTCAATGTACCGCCTCATGGTTTCAATGGCGTGAGCATGGGTCAAGCCGCACATGCCTAGGGCCTAGCAAGAGGTTTTTCTTCTCGAAACACCGCTCTGTCAGCAATTGCAGCTCGGTCGCATCTTCGCTGCCGACGTATCCGCTTCCGGGGGCCGACGGCTCGGCATGGCGGAGGTGCCACTTTGGCAACCAAGGGCCTACGGAGGTGGCCTAAAGGCTTTACTGCCAACTAAACACTTCAACAAGGACTTTTACTGCCAAAGCCTTCAGAACTCGGACCTACTCCTGGCTGGCAACATGTCTTCTGGAGCCTGGCTTCAAGCGCTTTCCAGCAGCGGCTCTGCCACATGCAACCTGGTGCAAGCCTGCAGCCAAGACTGTTCCGGCAGCTGAGCCAGGTCCACAGCTCATGGCCTCCCTGTCGCCTACTACGAGCCAACTGATTTAGGAAGTGGCCCATCCAAACGCTCGGACTGCATCCACTGCACCGGGCTGACACAGGAGACACGGACCGTCACGTGTCAGGCCCTCAGACTGCTGTGCAATGACTACGAAACAGCTGAGGGCGCACTAGGAAGCAACTGGAATACCAGTCTACATCATGTTGCCGCTTCACCGACATCATCCTGGTCGGAATCGTCCTGGCGACCACAAACGACCAGCGCTGGGCTGAATCGCATAAGCAACCCAACCTCTTCCTCGTCGTCCTTCCATGCTTAGCAGGGAAAGGTCCCCCCAAGAACTCGGGATGTCAATGCCTCGAGGTCGAGGTCTTCTTCGGACTCCAGGTCCAACAGCTCATCATCTAACAACATCTCCTGGACGGCTGATGGCCGAAGATGGCCGAAGGAGAATGCAAACCACGAGCACATAGATCGAACGCCTCCTCATCACCTTCCTCCTCAAAACAAATGTCTGGGAATTCCTCTTCACCCTCCTGCATAAAGGGGGCAGGTGCAGGGTGGTGCAGGCATGCAGTCTCAGCACAAACAGCCTGTGACTGCAACCCGTTCCAGTCCTCCATGAAGGCGAGGCTGTCTTCAAGCTCGTTTTCCTGCACAGAGCATGGAAGGCTTCGAGAGAGCACGAGGCAAAAAAATGGCTCCAAGGGCAGCCTTCATCGGAGTCGCTTCGGGCTTCGCTTCAACGCTTTCTGCGGCGGGTGCTCCCGTGTCCAGGGCCGCCTTGGCTCCGGCCTTGGCCTTTCCCTTGGCTTTGGGAGTTGGGGGATCCTCCATGGAAGAACCACCCCTGTGGGGCTCGTAGGTCAGCAAACAGTCATTCCCAAAAGTGCCAGAGGCAATCGAGTCCTTTGCTTTCGCTTTCGCTTTGGGCTGCTCACCCTCCGGGATGTGGCAAGCACAGAACGGCGACGCAGAGGAACAAAAACAAAGCCTTGGCTTTCTTCTTGGCACCGGCGGCTTCCTCCTTTCTGGGGCAGGAGCTTCAAAGCTGTGAAGATCTTAGAGGGGCTAAGGAGCGGAAACGCGCCTTTGGAGCGGCTCTCTTGCCTAGCACGGAAAGCTCCCCACACACATGTGAACTTCACCCCCATCAAAGCTATTCCGACTCGTTGCCACACGCCCCAACACCCAGCATCACCCACTGCAACAGCGGAAGATCGCTGCAAACTCGGGCCCTCCAACCATGCCAGGGGCCACCCATGCCGCCGTTGACTGGAGGCCCAAGGCCGGCTCTCAGTGGGCCAAAGAAGGCAAGAAAGAGAGTAGCTTGAGCAGTTGTGGAATTCTCTCGGTATCTCGACAAGGGTTTCTTCAGGGACTTCGCCAGGAATGTGATGAACCGCACGGGCAGTTCGATACCGCAAGTCTGAAGCTGTCTTTACGTTGTTTGAGCATGCCGTCGCCTCGTTCGAGCCCGAGACAAATCGAAGTTCAGACATGCTGAGACACGAGCAGGACAATGGAACATCCCTTTTTTTGCCACCAACGGGGACCGGAAAGCTCATGTCCTGCCAGCCGGAAGCGCTAAGGAAGTGACTTAAGATGAGCTTTCTTTTTTGACCTCAATTCAAGAAAAGGCCTGAACTCCCTGAAGACGAAGTAAGCGCGTCTCAGGGCCTGCAAGGAGAGTGAAGCTTGAGGATGCTCGAGGCGTCTGAGGGCCTAGGCGCCTCCTTCACTTCCTCGATGCTCCGCAGGCCACTGATCGACACCTGCACTTGAGTGGGCTCGGAAGGATTTTTGAGAATCCAGGAGCGCCCTGTTGCCCCGAAGCTACGCAAGCTACTCTCGCAGTACTGCTTTTTGAGACGTCGCTTCTCCAGAGTTTTCTGCCATCGTGTGTAGCCTGAAAAAGCGACACAAAAGAGTTTTCGTCACCTGGCAGTGCAGTCTTGGCAGGACGGATCATACTGCCAGACTGTCTGGCCTTCGTACTTACAATGGTCGGCACAACCAGCCTTTCCCAGCTGCAAGAGAGCAGGACGAGTGCACCCTTGACAGGATGGATCGTACTGCCAAACCTCCACACCCTCGTACTTGCAATGATCTGCACACCCAGACGCATCGTCCATAGCTGTGCTGGAAGACTTTGTTTCAAGCACCATTTGCTGCATGAGAGCTGGAGAACATCCGGTGCAGTCCGGGTCGTACTGCCAGGTGGCACTGCCTTCATACTGGCAATGAGAAGCACAATGCGGGCCGACCGCAACAGCAGCATCGCCAGGGAAGGAAGCGACGGTGCAGTCCTTGCAGTCCGTGTCGTACTGCCACACCGCCGCACCCTCGTATTGGCAGTACTGAGCACAGCCAGTGGCTGCACCTGATTTCAAGTCGTCCTTGGTCTCCTTTGTCTGCAAAAGCATTGACTGCACCAAGGATGCGGAGCAGCCACCACATTCGGGGTCGTGCGCCCAAATGGCAGTGCCCTCATACTGACAGTGTGGGGC